GGGTGTATGGTGCTGGTGTTTAAGTTGAATTTCGTCACTCCTGTGACATTGTTCTTTTTCATGTTTTTTGCAGGCTGGAAAACATGATGCAATTGTAAAGAACATCCATGACCTCCTGGCCAAATTAGCTTGGGATTTTTCTGCTGAACAGCTAGAACATCTGTTTTCTTGTTTCCAGGTAAAACAATTTCACTGGTGTGGTCTCTTCCAAGATTGAATGAAGTTTTTTTTTTTTTCTGATGTAGAATTGGTCAAAGTACAAATTTCACTCCATAGGTCTATTTTATGGTGTCAGTAGTCAAACCCCTTTTTGTTTTCTTTTGTATATTGATCAAGAACTAAAACTGCTGTTAAGCTGATTCAGATGAAAGTTGCTTATATTTTTATAGATAAACTAGTAATATTTTTTTTCTTTTGGTTTTTATAGGAAAGTTGGACAAATGCCAGTAAAAAGCACAGGGAAAAACTTTTAGAGTTGATAAGACGTTTAGCAGAAGATGACAAAGAAGGAATCATGGCCCATAAGGTGAATGGAACACAGAGTTTATTTCTACATTATATACATGTACTGTATAGTCAAAATGGTAGAATTCATGTTCAAATCTTCAACCCATCTGAAGGCAATTTTCACAAGGTTATGAAAGCCAAATTGCAGTTAGTGGTTAATTTTTGTATAAACCTTGAGTAATAGTTGAGATAGAAGGTAAGGTTGCAGGGACACACATGTGCTGAGGTACTTCTCCTTTAACATATGCTAGGAACCCATGGCTATGATAAATGTACATGTACACTGTAAGCCGCATGCTTTTACTTATGCACAGACTCGAATTTTCTTACCCTGTCTCTGGTGTTTATGTAGGTGTTAGGTTTATTGTGGAACCTTGCTCACAGTGAAGATGTCCCAACTGACATCATGGACTTAGCTCTGAGTGCACATATCAAGATCCTGGACTACAGTTGCTCACAGGTGACTTAAATGTAGTGGTGTTATATACAGTTTAATTGTACTTGTTTATGAGCCTCTATCAATGTCTTTCTAACTGGGGTCCATTAATTTGTGGATAGTACATTGATATACATATAAACCAGTTCTTGCATAAATTTGTGTTGCAGGACCGTGATTCTCAAAAAACAGAATGGATAGATCGTTGTATAGAAGAGTTACGTAGTGACACTTGGGTTTTACCAGCACTCAAGCAAATCAAAGAAATATGTTCCCTTTTTTATGAGGTAGGTAGCTCAGTTGTTATATAGTTTTCTCCTGTGATCCCTGTCAATGTGATCTTTTAACATTATTGTGCCCCACATATAGGACAGTTAACAGTTTGCATGGTTCCAGTGTAGTGCTGCTTGGCACATCATTATTGTTATGCAGCTGGGTAATCGTTGTTTGTGCTCTTTATCTTGTAAGGCTCCACAAAACTATTCTCACACTCAGCGTAACCCTCACGTATATTATCGACATGAAGTTATAAATCAGCTGCAACAGACTCACTCCTTGGTAAAGATAGTTGCTGATAATCTTGCAACCTACATGCAGAAAGTTCACACTCTGATGGAAGGTGAGATCCTTGATTTTCCTGGTGAATAATAATTGTTTCCAAGAAGAATTATCATTGTCAATAATTTGTAAAATAATTAATGTTGTGCTGTTCATGACTCAGACTTGCTAATCTACCCAGATACACAAAATGTTGCAAAATATCTTCAAATGATAATTTCAAGTCATGACTGTGATAAGTAACTTGTTTGAGAAATGCAAAGTAACATAAAACAAAACAAAAGAGCGGGAGCAAATGATACTGCAATATTCCATACTAAATCTATACTTACATGTAGCAGAAATAAGTGATAATTTGCTTTAGAATATCTTAGTTGTCATTTAGTGAGCTAAGATAATTTGGTTTTATCAACTGAGTTGATAAATAAATGTAAAGTGGCCACTGTAAAGTGTTTCAATAGCTGACATTTTAAGAGTTACCGTTAGCCCTTTGTCAGGGTGAAAAGTTGTCTGACGTACTGTAGTTATTAAACAAAACATTTATGCATAATCATGTTTAAGTAATGGCACTACAATTTATGGCAACTGTTTCCAACACAAAAAATTTTAGTATCCTTGAAGCCTAAACTGTGTTTTTCTGGGAAAATCATGGTGGTAACTGACTGTAATATGTGTCTCAGGTAAACCAGATGTAGTCCCAGGTGATATAAAAATCGATGGACGATACAATCATGTGACTCAAGTACAGGAGAGACTTAACTTTCTCAGGTACTACATGCACATGTTTATGAAACAGATATGTTAGTAAATGGATTGGAGAGTTGTACAGTGTATCTATACTGTTCATGCACAAAATTTCAAAAACAAGAAAGTTATCTCCAAGCTTTATTACACATGTCAAAACATCTCCCCTTTTCTCCTCTTTTTCAGTGTTGACAACAAGATAATTAGACCACCTGAAAATAAAACATTAATAAATAAATAGAAAACAGAGCACCATGTTTCAACAAAAACTGGTTAAGACTTTTCTCTAGAATGAAGTGGTTACATTTTTAGTAGTAAACTTTTACTCACCCCACCAAGCCTCGAGGAACAACTTCATGTCATTATTATTTTTAAGTGACAGTTGAAGAATCACTTATATAGATGTTGATGTGTGTGGAAAAATTGATCCCTAACCCTATGTAGACTCAATTTGCCCTGGAAAGCAGTGGCAGAGTTCTCTTAGGCAAAATTTGACGATTTTCAGAAGAAAACTTATTGTTGCAATATGAAATTTGAGACTGGTCTATAGTTGATAAAGCAGTAATATGATGAAACAAGCATGCTACCTACCTTTGGTGTTGAGGTACACTTGTACTCTTCCAGTGGTAAACTGTTCTTGAATTTCAGTCTTGACAATGAAAATTTCATTGTGGAAACATAGACAAACCACTATGTAGCACCCAAACAGATCAAATATTTACTTGAATCTCTTGAATTCGAACAACAGTGAACAACTGTCTGTTACCATAATTTCTGGCTGTTTACCCACACAGCCGATTACCCACACCAGTTGATTATTGCATACAGCAAAGAAAAAAGTCAGCAGATTACCTGCACTGGTGGATAACCCGCACCTTAAAAGCAAGGAAAATTTGTACAAAAAGGCTATAGAATACACATACTCAAAAGAATGCAAATTCGTGACCACATTTCATACGAGCGATCATTCAACGCCATGTTGAATTGTTGCTTTTCTAAAAAAATCAATATCTCCGGTTCTTCTGGGCTTAGCAAGTCCATGAAAACGGGAAAATTCTCTTCATCTCAAGCTAGTGTTAACTGGAAATTTGTTACTGATGCACGAGATACCCTTGGATTATTTTTGTCACCATCAAGGTTTTGTGTACACACGTGCAGATAAAAATCATTTTGCCGCACAACTTATTATGCATGAAATAAACTGAAGTTGGCATCATGATTTTGTGTTGCTTTGTGGCACTCTTAACACAATAAAATTCATTTGAGAGGTGGAAATGTGGGTAGGTGAGAATTTTTTTCTAATTCAACTACCAGTAGATTTCAAAATTTTCACATAACCCACACCTCCCTATTACCCACAGTGACACTTGTTAAAGGCAAAATCAACAGATTACCTGCAGGTAAACAGCCAGAAATTATGGTAGCTATTTTGCTGCTTCTTATTTTTTTTTCCTGTACTTCTCCTTTTTTTAGGTTTCTTCTCAAAGATGGACAGTTATGGCTATGTGAACGCCAGGCCAAATTGGTAATTGAACACGAATATATGTCAGTAACTAAACATTTTATAATCAGTCATTGAATTGGTTAATTAAAGGCTCAGTGGTTTAGTGATTGAGTTATCAAAATCATTTGGTTACAGATCTGGCAGTGTCTTGCAGAAAAAGCTGTTTTATCATCTGATAGGGAGAGTTGTTTCAAGTGGTTTTCAAAGGTAATAATAATTATGATCTGCCCTAATAATATCACATGTACAGCATGGCATAATTTTTTTGAGGCCTGATGTTTAACAATTTTAGGTAATTTATTTGGTGTACATTTTAAAACATTTAGTCATTTCACAATTTCAAAACTTGAGATACAACACATTTGCAAGGCCAAAGGTACAAGAAGACTAATTATATACACATGCGAAGTGCTGCATTAATGTTGCAATGGTTGATTTGATTTACAATGTATTTGTGTTCAGATTTCAAAGAATTGTTGTAATGTCCACAACCAAGGTGAACATTTGTAGATGTTCTTGCCAACTTCCCTGTTGTCCCCTATAGCATGGATGCATTATTTTTACTTTTTTTCTAGTTGATGGGGGATGAACCAGACTTAGATCCTGAAATATGCAGATCATTCTTTGAAGGAAATGTCCTCAAGTTAGATCCCTCTCTTTTAACAGAAAATGGCATAAGGTTTGTGACAAAAACAAAGTTTAATCAGGCACATACTGCGCTATTTTGCACGTATTTTTTTAACGCACAATTTTGTGTGAAAGTGATGCACATTAATTCTTGCCAAATGTTTGGACTGCAGGGGGCTTTTGGATTAAAATTCCATTTAAGCTTTATCCCTGTGATATTTCCAAGAATTAGTGGCACTTGAATTGCTGTGAATGTTAATGAGTCATAAATCTTAGGGAAACTTTGATCCTTGTAATTAATTGCAGAGACATTATGTAACCAAAATCTAGAAGTTGCATTCCTTCAAAACATACTACTCTCCAATAGTTTGGAGGTTTTGAAAGGTTGTTTGTTCCTCATGATTTAAAGAAACAGATAAACGAATGGTATAAAAATTAATTATTATTTTTGTCTTGAAACACTTGTGTTTGACATCCAAAAAGGAAAGCTGCTTCAAACCCCAAAATAATTTTTTTATTAAAAAAAAATTTTTGTATCAGATGTTTTGAAAGATTCTTTAGAGGAGTCAATGTTAAAGAAGGTAAACTAGTGGCTAAGAGGAGAGCTTACTTAATGGAGGATTTGGAGTTGATAGGAGTGGATTACTTATGGCAGGTAATGACACATTATTCATGCCTAAACTACACATTTAGTTCCATGATGTATTGTCTGATTGCTCCTCTGTCTCCATTTAGTTACTCGTTAAACAGGGTTGAATATTTTGTCCATATTGGAAGGGTTTTTTTTTTTTTTTATTACATCATTGCATCACATTTGCAAGGAGTCCTTGTTATTGTAATGTTATTCTCGACCTTAATGCTTATGGAAATTAATGTGGACCTCAGTAGCAAACAGAACAGAAATTCATTTTGATCAAGAAAAATTGACTACTTTTCTGGTGTCATATAAGTTGCAAATACACATGCCTATCCATTACCATTGCGGTTCAAAGTTTTTCTATGGTGTCATCTGCTATGATTTTCAGGTGGTACTTCAAGGTTCAGATGACATTGCTGTTCGTGCCATTGAACTGCTCAAGGAGACTTTCACCTCCCTGGGACCTAAACTAAGAGCTACTCAGGTAAATTGAAAAATTGACATTCTGAGAACAAGTCACACTGGTTAAAAATGTAAAGCTTTTTTAATAGTTTATTTATTTATTTATTTATTTACTCAAATTCAATTACACAGATAATCAAAACAAAAACAAAAACAAGGAGTTAAATATATATACAAGTATAAAAAAGAGATATCTGAGTATTTAGGCCA